CTCGTCGCGAAAAGAAAATGGCGCTTATCGCCTGCTTTTGTTTTGTGGAAATTTCTCTTCTTCATTGACTGCATTTCTCGCTAGATGTTTTCGCGAAAATGACGTCTTTATGTCGTGAATTTTGTTTTGTCTATTGCTTTATATTCGATAAGCTTTTGTTTTCACGACAATGTCGTTTCTTATACAGGCGATTAAACGTAGAAAGAATCGGTAGTTCCACAAGGAAAATGCTGCAGAATTATCGCTTGTCGTACGTAACATATGTTTTCGATATTTGCGATATGTTCTAAAGCATCTTTTTGCTGCTGTCAGAATTGGAATAATCGTTAAAGGCGGCTAATATGCAATATAGATCTCTTCTGCAATTATCATAAACTAATTAGTAAATATTTATCACAGGATTGTCTTATTTTTCAGTGAAGATCATCATGTCGTATCTTTGCTTATTACACGTATGTAATACATCTTTTTGACGTCATTTTATAAAATGACGTCACACATTCACAGTTGGCATTGTGACCTAACATATATAGCGAACATGACATATGGCTTCAAGTATGACGAAGAAATATCCCTTTTCTACCACATTTGTATGAAACAATCACGTGATAAAAAGGATATCAAATTCCCATTGATCTATGATTGAAGGAAGTCGTCACGAGAATATCTTTATCGAGCCTAAAAGCGATTTTATTTCGGCTCGTTTCATAAAATAACATAGCAATTTAGATCCGATATGTATCCCTATATACCCTGGGGAATGTTCCCTCTACGTTAGGTAACAGAAATAGAAAAAAGAAATATGTTGAACACAGAAATAGCCTTAATATGACCCTGACTGATGTGATGACGTAAAAACCATATAGCAGACAAAGAATATTTTGAACAATTGTTAAACAATGCGTAGCCGAATAGTGTTATAGTGCTAGCGGCGATAGTTATAGTGCTAGCGGCGATAGTTATAGTGCTAGCTGTGATGGTTATAGTGCTAGCTGTGATGGTTATAGTGCTAGCTGTGATGGTTATAGTGCTAGCTGTGATAGTTATAGTACTAGCTGTGATGGTTATAGTACTAGCGGTGATAGTTATAGTACTAGCGGCGATAGTTATAGTGCTAGCTGTGATGGTTATAGTGCTAGCTGTGATGGTTATAGTGCTAGCTGTGATAGTTATAGTACTAGCTGTGATGGTTATAGTACTAGCGGTGATAGTTATAGTACTAGCTGTGATGGTTATAGTACTAGCGGTGATAGTTATAGTACTAGCGGCGATAGTTATAGTACTAGCTGTGATGGTTATAGTGCTAGCTGTGATGAATATAGTGCTAGCTGTGATAGTTATAGTGCTAGCTGTGATGGTTATAGTACTAGCGGTGATAGTTATAGTACTAGCGGCGATAGTTATAGTACTAGCTGTGATGGTTATAGTACTAGCTGTGATGGTTATAGTGCTAGCTGTGATGATTATAGTGCTAGCTGTGATAGTTATAGTGCTAGCTGTGACGGTTATAGTACTAGCTGTGATAGTTATGGTGCTAGCGGCGATAGTTATAGTGCTAGCTGTGACGGTTATAGTGCTAGCTGTGATAGTTATAGTGCTAGCTGTGACGGTTATAGTACTAGCGGTGATAGTTATAGTACTAGCTGTGATAGTTATAGTGCTAGCTCTGATGGTTTTAGTGCTATATATAGTTGTTATAGTGCTAGCTCTGATGGTTATAGTGCTATATGTAATTGTTATAAAGCTAGCTGCGATGGTTATAGTGCTAGTTTTGATGGTAATAGTGCTAGCTGTGATGGTTATAGTGCTAGTTTTGATGGTAATAGTGCTAGCTGTGATGGTTATAGTGCTATATGTAATTGTTATAAAGCTAGCTGCGATGGTTATAGTGCTAGTTTTGATGGTAATAGTGCTAGCTGTGATGGTTATAGTGCTATATATAGTTGTTATAGTGCTAGCTGTGATGGTTATAGTGCTATATGTAATTGTTATAAAGCTAGCTGCGATGGTTATAGTGCTAGTTTTGATGGTAATAGTGCTAGCTGTGATGGTTATAGTGCTATATATAGTTGTTATAGTGCTAGCTGTGATGGTTATAGTGCTATATATAATTGTTATAGTGCTATCTGTGATGGTAATAGTGCTAGCTATGATGGTTGTAGTGCTATATATAATTGTTATAGTGCTAGCTGTGATGGTTATAGTGCTATATGTAATTGTTATAAAGCTAGCTGCGATGGTTATAGTGCTAGTTTTGATGGTAATAGTGCTAGCTGTGATGGTTATAGTGCTATATATAGTTGTTATAGTGCTAGCTGTGATGGTAATAATGCTAGCTATGATGGTTATAGTGCTATATATAATTGTTATAGTGCTAGCTGTGATGGTTTTAGTGCTATGCGGTACTAACGTTATGTCGGAATAATTATGATAGTTGTGTTGTGCTATATTCACAATGCTAGTTAGGATAGTTTTTACAACTAAGTGTGATAAACGAGTAGTAACGCTGTATCAATATAGCTACGATGGTTTATTAAGTGTTAGCTGAGCTATTTATTTTGCTAACCGCTATATCTATAGTAGTGTCCGTGTTATAGCTTAATTCTGTTTGTAGTGCTAACTTTGACACTAAATGCCGTGGGACAGTACGGCAGGATACCATCTTTCTGTTCTTTGTGCCAACATGTAATATGTTTTACTGTTATTTAATGTAAATGAACTATATATTACAACTTTAAGGTAATGTTTTATCTTTTAATGTCTTAATTTGCTTTGCTTCGTGAAATCTTTAGCTAACAGCAAAAATCATACTTATCTATGTGCCAGGGTCGGTCCGTTTGCTAGTTGATGTTATTGAATTTATTTTTATTTTTGTGAATTTTAAAAAAAAAACAAAAACATTGTACATGTATTTAGATTATGAAACTTACAAGGGGCCAAGATTATCGGGCACGTTCTGAGAGGTTTTTTTAAACCGGGAGGGAGTGGTTGGATTTAGTTCTGGAAGTCTTCATGGCAAGGATGTAATGGTAGAGTTTAGTTCTGGAAGTCTTCATGGCAAGGAGGTAATGGTAGAGTTTAGTTCTGGAAGTCTTCATGACAAGGATGTGATGATAGAGTTTAGTTCTGGAAGTCTTCATGACAAGGAGGTAATGGTAGTGTTTAGTTCTGGAAATCTTCATGGCAAGGATGTCATGGTAGCCTTTATTTCTGGAAATCTTCATGGCAAGGAGGTAATTGTAGCGTTTAGTTCTAGAAATCTTCATGACAAGGATGTGATGATAGTGTTTAGTTCTGGAAGTCTTCATGGCAAGGGGGTAATGGTAGTGTTTAGTTCTGGAAGTCATTAACTGTTGGAGTGCACAATAATACTTTGAAACTATTGATGTGTACACTGCTAATACTGGTGTTCTTGTCTTGTATAATTTTGTAACTTATAATCTTACTGCCAACGTATCAACAGGTACTTTATAGAAAATATTTGAAATAAAAACGTGGTTCGATGTACGTGTAGTCATTAATCTAAATCGGTAAATGATGTTAAAATGAATATTGATCCAGTCAACTGCCATACACAATGTAGAACTAGAACCACCCTGGCTTCCTGTTGCCAGACATTCGATATAATTTTAAAATCATATGCTAAAATAGAACATGACACTGTACCTGGAAACCTATCTCTCTATTTAATATCCCGCAGTATGTAAGATAATCTACCTGTATGATAAATCCCGGAGTTTTTACACACGTACGTATACGTACATCAGAGTGATATCAAAGATTTTATCATGTTTATTATCAGGTACATGTATACATTTGAGAAAAGTGATTTTCGGGGTTTTTTTGTACCAGTTATTACATACAGCACAAATTTCAACTTTACTAGGGGTGGGGGGAGGGGGTTTGGATGGGGGGTGGGGGTGGGGTACGTTCCTGTATACATCCTTAGATCTACATAAGTAGCATTTTGTCCTTGTTTAATTTTGTTTTACCTGAATTATACATGCATTTCCATTTCCTCTCTGGTGGGATATTAACTTTGAAAATGTCATTTAGGTCACAGACTCTCTATCTGTGTGATCGCTACTATCATATTGTGAATATGTATACCAGTATTGTTTCTAGATACAGACAAAAAAGGGTCTTTCCAATTCACCCTAACCACCTCAATATGATGCACTACTGTACATTGTCAACGTGCTATAATACGTCCCCGATATCGTATACCTGATAATGTATATTGAAAAGTCTAGGGATTGCAAAGTTCACTCTCTATGATACATGTACGATAAAAGAATAATAACATCGGAAAACGTATGTCCATACAAATCATATATAATACATACGTCTCTGTTTGAAAACTATATATTTTTAAATCATACCATCCATGTATTTGAAATGCTAATGAAATCATAGACTAAGATGTTAATACAACCAAGGCTCCAGATGTTAATAAAAACATGGACTTAGATGTCACCAGAGACGTATCTCTGATGTCACTAACACGGCAGGTGCACGCGTTAAAGCTTACAAGTTAACACATAGCTTTTTATTTGTATTATGATATTTTTTTTCAAAAACCAAGTTAATTAAAAAGGAGCAACGCAACATAAATCCATATCATTATCGGATCCGGAGGTTACAATAAATATTGTTGTCTCATAGGTCTGAAACTTTTCTGCCTCGAATTCAAATTCGAGGGGTAAGGGCGGATTCTTATTGATTAGTATCTATATAACACATTGTATGGGTGTCGATCGATTGCATTCCTTAAATCACTGTCTAATTCAGTAAGATATATCTCGGGTTTTGACACGTGTCCGTTATAAATATATTTTACTCACTGGATTCGTTCTATATATGTGCATGAGTCATGCCTGTCATTCTTGCAATGCCTATACTCGCCAACTGGTGGGTGTCCTGATTGAAAAGGATTCCCTTCTAAAAATAACCGACACCTTGATCACGTGATATAATACCCAAAGCGGTCATATTGTCAGTGAAAAACCAAAGCTGAGGAATCCCCAATCATCTTATTCATATCGGGGGTTGGGACATTTTAAAGGGGATTAAGACATTATTCAAATGTTCGCCGACAAGATGTGGAAGTTGAGGGAGATTACAGATAAAGTGTGAGTATATATTTTGTTATTCTATGTCGCTTTTCTAACGGATGTTGAACGTAACAACAGGCCTTGACCTTCCACGTCGACACCGGCTTCCGCTTTGACGTTTCGATGTCAATATTTTGTTTTTCGTAAATAAATGATTATCTTTTATATAATGATACTTGTTTTCAAATCAAAAGAAAATCCTCTAACGATAGTTAATGAACTAGTGAAACTGTTGACACTATTTATTGTAGTGGTGGTTTGGCTATACGTGCTTGAAGGGGGAGGTGTGGTCGGGTTGTCAACACCTCCATAGATTTGGGGAATGTAAAATATGTCACATTTTCTACACATCCTTTGTTCTGCGGATAATTCTGTTAACGATTGTAATTTTAAAAATATCTAATTATATGAATAAACTTGAGTTAGAGTCGATTAAAACGGAAACATTCCAGTATTTTGTACCCCTTCCCTGATTAATAACCGTATTGTATCAATACCATATACGAGCGTCAAAGGACATCGTTTTATCTAATAACAGCAATGATGCTGTAAAATAAACTGCTGTTGTCTTGTATCACTGGTTGAAGAAAATCCCTTTTCAAATGATCGTGATATAAAATACATAATGAAAGATGAAATATTTGTCAAATACTCTCCTTTACTGTCTTTTCTGATTGATATTTTTTATTTGTACTGAAACACAGTAAACATCAACCTGTCATTTAAAGCCTAATATAGCTAATCAGAATATGAAAATAGTCAAAATCGATATGAATTGCCGAAACACTGATGTTCATTGGTGAGACGGTACCTGAACACGAGAGGAGTAAAGGAGACAAAAAACCTGTTAACCAACCAATATGAATTGCACCAGTCAACATAATACTAATTAGCATTTATTTGTTTTGCCAATGAACATGGAGGCATTACTTTTTAACCTATGAATTAAAGAAGCTACATGTACACATCAACCTGCACCAATTGATAAGTTTTTAAAAATTCAGACTTTTAGCATAAGGCAGACATGAGTTTTTTATGACTTCAGTTTACCTGTAATGAAATCTTGTAATTGAATGTCAGCTCTTCATGGAGTAAAAATTGATATTGGCTAAGAAGTATACAGTATAGATAGCAGATATTTTCACCACATATAAACTCTTTCAAGTTACAAATTGCCAATATTTCCTACAAAATGAAGGTTTTGTACTTCGGCCCCTTTAAGTTGGATTCTCCTCAGCATATTGGACTTTTTTATGAATCATTGTAAGGTTGAATAAGTTATGGTCTCTGTTGATGACTTTTATCACAACATGACATATATTTATTTATCTTTTTTTAATCTTCAGACTTTTAATCTTTACAAATTTTCTTATTTGCAGTACCAATGTGGTAATGAACTACTCGGAGGTTGAGACAAAGGTGCGTGAGGCAACAAGTGATGAGGCATGGGGACCCCATGGTACTTTGATGCAGGAAATTGCACGTTACACATTCACATATGAACACTTTCCAGAGGTCATGGGAATGTTGTGGAAGCGAATGCTGCATGATAACAAGAAAAACTGGAGGAGAGTGTACAAGGTGTGCACTTAAGTCATATGTAGTTTAATAAATGTTTTGTTTATATAAGACTTATCAGAGACTCAAAACAGCAATAGCACAGTTCCTAACTTTAAAGTAGTACAATGCGTCACCTTTGGTGATGATTTGAGGTGTGTGGTTTGACCCCTAGCTATGTTACTCATGAAGCATATATCGGAAACTGACCTGGACCATCCGGTACTATAATGGTTATGTCAGTGACTGACCTGGACCATCCCGTACTATAATGGTTATGTCAGTGACTGACCTGGACCATCCTGTACTATAATGGTTATGTCAGTGACTGACCTGGACCATCCTGTACTATAATGGTTATATCAGTGACTGACCTGGACCATCCTGTACTATAATGGTTATGTCAGTGACTGACCTGGACCATCCGGTACTATAATGGTTATGTCAGTGACTGACCTGGACCATTCGTTACTATAATGGTTATGTCAGTGACTGACCTGGACCATCCGTTACTATAATGGTTATATCAGTGACTGACCTGGACCATCCGGTACTATAATGGTTATATCAGTGACTGACCTGGACCATCCTGTACCATCATGGATATGTCGGACACTGATCTGTACTGCTGTGGCTATGTCAGAGACTGATCTGTACTGTCTTGGTTATGTCAGAGACAGATCTGTACTGTCTTGGTTATGTCAGAGACAGATCTGTACTGTCTTAGTTATGTCAGAGACAGTTCTGTACTGTCTTAGTTATGTCAGAGACAGATCTGTACTGTCTTGGTTATGTCAGAGACAGATCTGTACTGTCTTGGTGATGTCAGAGACAGATCTGTACCCTCCGTGGTTATGTCAGAGACTGATTTGTACTGCTGTGGCTATGTCAGAGACAGATCTGTACTGTCTTGGTTATGTCAGAGGCTGATCTGTACTGTCGTGGTTATGTCAGACACTGATCTGTACCCTCCGTGGTTATGTCAGAGACTGATCTGTACCCTCCGTGGTTATGTCAGAGACTGATTTGTACTGTTGTGGCTATGTCAGAGACTGATCTGTACTGCCATGGTTATGTCAGAGACTGATTTGTACTGCTGTGGCTATGTCAGAGACTGATCTGTACTGTTGTGGTTATGTCAGAGACTGATTTGTACTGTTGTGGTTATGTCAGAGACTATGTCAGAGACTGATTTGTACTGCTGTGGTTATGTCGGAGACTGACCTGTACTGCCATGGTTATGTCAGAGACTGATTTGTACTGTTGTGGTTATGTCAGAGACTGATCTGTACTGTTGTGGTTATGTCAGAGACTGATTTGTACTGCTGTGGCTATGTCAGAGACTGATCTGTACTGTCTTGGTTATGTCAGAGACAGATCTGTACCCTCCGTGGTTATGTCAGAGACTGATTTGTACTGCTGTGGCTATGTCAGAGACTGATCTGTACCCTCCGTGGTTATCTCAGAGACTTATCTGTACTGCTGTGGCTATGTCAGAGACAGATCTGTACTGTCTTGGTTATGTTGGAGACTGATCTGTACTGTCTTGGTTATGTCAGACACTGATCTGTACTGTCGTGGTTATGTTGGAGACTGATCTGTACTGTCTTGGTTATGTCAGACACTGATCTGTACTGTCATGGTTATGTCGGACACTGATCTGTACTGTCATGGTTATGTCAGAGGCTGATCAGTACTGTCGTGGTTATGTCAGAGACTGATCTGTAATGTCGTGGTTATGTTGGACACTGATCTGTACTGTCATGGTTATGTCGGACACTGATCTGTACTGTCTTGGTTATGTTGGAGACTGATCTGTACTGTCTTGGTTATGTCAGACACTGATCTGTACTGTCATGGTTATGTCAGAGACTGATCTGTACTGTCATGGTTATGTCAGAGGCTGATCTGTACTGTCGTGGTTATGTCAGAGACTGATCTGTAATGTCGTGGTTATGTTGGACACTGATCTGTACTGTCATGGTTATGTCGGACACTGATCTGTACTGCTGTGGTTATGTCAGAGACTGATCTGTACTGTCATGGTTGAGTCCTTTAGCAAGCTTAAGACACTGTTTCCCATCTGCTGTGTAGAATAGATACAGTATATACTGTATAGTTGATATTATTGATGAGGATTTTGATGTAACTGTAGTCAACAAAAAAGGACAAAGTCAGATACCTGTCAGATATATTTACAATAAATCAAATGTCAGGAAATATGTTATGACGGTTAACATAGGTAACAATTGATAGATGTGTGAAATTAGATACGTTTGAAGTAGACAAAGCTGGGACTGCTACAAAATGCTTTCCCCACAAGTATACCTGATATTACAGGGAGACTTGGTATTCCACCTCAAAATGGCTAGGTCAGGTTTTCTTGTCCTGATTACTTTAGCAAGCCAATTTTAAACAGCTATTGATTTATTGTTTTCATGAACATGTTGACTGAAACTGATATTAAAGGATTATCTGAAATCCTTTATTGGTTATAACAAAAATTATATTTCAAGAGTTCACATTCAGTCCATGTGACCTTTGTAATATGTTGTTATAAGAACAGTAATTTTGATTTTCAGATAAATTTTATTTGGTGTTTAGTTACTAATGAAATTTCAGTCTGAAGACAAATTTTATATGGTATTTAAGGAATGCTTTGTGATTATTAGTTACATCGTTTCTTTTTGAAAAGAAATGCCTCATTGTTATTTTTAAATGATGTATATGTATATCTTATATTTAAAATTTCGCTTGTTTTCTTCAGTCATTGCTGTTGCTGACATATCTCCTAAAGAATGGATCAGAGCGTGTGGTGACAAGCTCCAGGGAACACCTTTATGACCTCCGAAGTTTAGAGAGTTACACTTTCACAGATGAGCATGGAAAAGATCAGGGATTAAATGGTATGATTTGAAAACAAGAGTATTACCTATACATAAAAAGATGCTACTTAGAGAGGAAAACTTGTTAATAGAATGAAATATTGCCCCTGTAATGTGTTTTAGCTCTTGCTGTTAAAAGTTGCATGCAGTCAAAACCAATCCATGTGCTCAATCTTAAAGGAGATTATAAAATTTCTACTGACAAAATTAATCTTGAAAAATGTTTAAAGTTCAAATTCATTCTAGAAGTTGAACAAGTAATTCAAAGGTCAGTGAAACAATTTGAGGAAATATATCAAGAAGTATACTGTTTTTAATTTCTCATTTATCCTGTCACTGACCCTGACATGCAATGAAAATAATGTCATGAACAGTACCATGACCTCGAAAGATTGATGAACAAGTTCAACAAAACAAAACGGCAGTTCCCATGCATGCACACTTTCCTTTGTGGACAGGTGATTCAGTTTACTAAGTATGAAAAAGTTGATGTTTCGGGGTTTATTCAGTAAAGCAATTATCACGTTTAATTCCTTTACAGTTCGACAGAAGGTACAAGAACTTCTAGAATTTATTCAGAATGATGAAAAGTTACGAGAGGAAAGAAAGAAAGCAAAACGAAACAAAGACAAATATATTGGAGTTGCAGGAGAGAGTTCAATTGGTGGACGATACAGTAAGTTTGGAGAATTAGTGTTTCAGATATTCCATTAGCTATTAATAAAGGCTGTAAATATCATAGTCTGCTTTCAATATAAAGTCCATCAATGTAGCAAAATCATTGGATTCGTCCATTTTAAATTTTTGTTTTTAAAATCCCTGTAGGATGAAGAAATTGTCATTTGTCAATAATGTATGATAAACAATCAAAGTAAATATGTGACCTGGTCCACTTCCTTCACGTAGATTTGCTTCACTGACTGGTTGTTACAGGTGACCGATATGATGAGGAACCGTCCAAGCGTGACCGTATGGATGAGATTGACGACTGGGACAGTGGTCGGAAGACTATGGCTGGGGAGGCTGTAGACAAAGTAAAGGGGCTATGGAACAAAGTCCAGGGCAGAAAGGGACCAGATGATGTAGTTGATTACAGGTAAGGGTGAGGTGTGCTATTACAGCCAAGGGTGAGGGATGGTGTAGTCATTACTGGTAAATTTGAGGTTAAGGTAAGAGGTTTTAATCAGGGGATGGTGTAGTTGATGACAGGTTGTAATCAGGGGATGGTATAGTTGATGACAGGTTGTAGTCAGGGGATGGTGTAGTTGATGACAGGTTGTAGTCAGGGGATGGTGTAGTTGATGACAGGTTGTAATCAGGGGATGGTATAGTTGATGACAGGTTGTAGTCAGGGGATGGTGTAGTTGATGACAGGTTGTAGTCAGGGGATGGTGTAGTTGATGACAGGTTGTAGTCAGGGGATGGTGTGATGACAGGTTGTAGTCAGGGGATGGTGTAGTTTATGACAGGTTGTAGTCAGGGGATGGTGTAGTTGATGACAGGTTGTAGTCAGGGGATGGTGTAGTTGATGACAGATTGCAGTCATAGATATTCTTGTTTTCTTTCATACTTTACTTGAATTTATGCTTTTCCCCATACATTGCTTGTTCTTGACACAGGGACTCTCTATAATGAGACCTTGCCATGTTCAACTTTGAGAACAAATGCACAAAATGTGTTTTTATGTCTCATGTTAAGATAGATAATAACAATTAAATAAGAACTAAATATTTAATCGTTTACATTGCCAAATCCAAATCTGGTTTTATGTTATTCAAACCGTTTTGACTATTTGCTTCTTGAGGGCAAGAGATTTCTGAAAGCAGTTTTCCATGTTTTACAAAGGAGACTGGCTTAGAAATAGATTAGGATGTAAATTTTTCATTTACTAAACATTTACTTGTTACTCACTCTCATGGACTTTTTTGTGGATTCCAAGATGTTATGTGCTGTGGGAAAACAAAGCCAAATATGACATCAGTTAACATTTTCTGCATGATTTTAAAAAAATCACAAACTAAAATATAAGAACATGTATAAGATACACGTAGATGTATTTATATAGCTGGTGATTTTCATTCTGTATAAAATCACCCCATTTTATGAAACATTTTAGTTCAAGCAAGATTCCTGCCGCCCGCAGAAGCAGTTTAACAGACTTTAGGTGAGATTTTATCCTGGTTTACTACAGGAAACATCTTAATAGAGCATGGTGTCATTGGTGTTGTGTATACTGTTCTATAAGGATATGTCCCCATTGTTTAGATGTTATGCTTGTCATGATATCCAGCTTGCAAAGTTAGCATCATGTCAAATTTGGGACACTTGTATCTTGACCTTAATCGTGGTATTTCCAAACGATCCTGGCTTTTAGACTTTAACCTTTGGAAAGGAGATAATTTTCTCTGTGAATTCATAGGAGTGGGATATTGTACTTTATCAAATATGGGAATGATATTTGTTTAGAAAATGTCAAAGAGATACATTATACAGAGCTAAACATATATGTAGTAAGACAAATTTACAGTACAACTAGTATACATGTGTGAGGTGCAAATAAAGGGTAGAATTATAGAGATGACTAATCCGTGACGTCCAGTATAGTTTAAATATAGATACATAGTATAAGCTTCAAGATCAATTTCCCTTCTTAAATGTAACATGTTTGTTTTGAATATTGTTATGCTATTGATTAAGACATTATGTAAACTATTTATATATACTAATACACTCGTACGTTGATAAGCTTAAAGCTTGGTTTTATGTGCATGATATTCAGAAAATTATGTAAAATAATAGCATGACTTGATTGATGATCACTACTTAACAAGCATGGCTGATAGGAAGAATTGACAAAACATTCAAACAAATCACAGTCAGATATGTCCAGCAACAAAAGATAAAGACTAGAGGTTCTTTGGCATCGTCACTCTCTTATTAAAGGTTTTAATTAGTCATTGGGGAATTCTCTTTTAGGTAAGAGAATTTGGATTGTAAATGTGAAGAACAACAGACCTGCCAGCTATTAAATAAATTGCACTGTTCTGATGTTTTTTGCAATTTTTTGGGGAATTCTTTTTTTTTTTTTATTTTGTAATTCTTTTTTGTAATTTTTTATATTTCTTGTCTGTTTCTGAACAGAAAACTTTTCAAAATTTTGCCCCTGATGTGTTTACATGAGTGCCTATCTACAAGTAAAGTGTCTAGGTGATAAGGATTACCTTTTCAATAGCAACAGGGAAAATAATGAATTTTTATATGCTACCTTGAAATGGTAATGTCAGGAACAGTAGTGCTTATACACCATAGGTCATTGTAATTGTGACTTTGCGATTTAATGTTGAATATGACATCAAACATTTGTATCTACCAAACGTAATAATTTTTTACTCAAAGCTTGTCTGTGACTGTTCCCCAGAATCCCAATAAATGTTAATACTCTTGCTGGCAGGTCTGAATCAGGCATGAATATTACATGTTTGATGGGAGATAGAAGTCCTGGTACTAGTCTGTGTCTTATTGCCTGTTGATGACCTACAATTGGAGCATGATTTGTAAAACATTATTTGGATATGACTCAAATTATAGCATGCTTGATCTGTAGTAAACAGAATATGGTTACATGTACCTGTGAAATCAGTTGATAGGCTGCATGCTGCATCATGACATTTCAAACTAATAAACATTTGGATTCATTTCATTGTTTTGTAAGTAAATAAAATTGATTCTAACATTAAAGATGCAATACAATAATACACTGTTGAAAACTATATGAAGCTACAAAAATATAACTTATTTTTTTTTTGAATTATTAAAATTATTAACTTTACACTAATATGGCAGTTGAAGTCTGCAGGTTCCCCCAAAGTTCTTGAATAATAAAAGGTTTGAAATTCTTAATTTATGTAGAATTTTGAAGATTAATCCCACCAGAGAATTTGAATAAGAGCGTGATGCACTGGTCCGCAAAATGGCTGATAATTGTGATGCTCAGATTCATTGGAATAGATTAGCTATAATATCTCTAAAATCTGGATAGCTCAAAGATAAAAAACAAAATAAACAGCTTAGTGAAAAGTGGAATCAGCATTAGTAATGATGGCAAAAGATAGAAAACAAAATAAACAGCTTAGTGAAAAGTGGAATCAGCATTAGTAATGATGGCAAAAAAGTGGAATCAGCATTAGTAATGATGGCAAAAGATAAAAAACAAAATAAACAGCTTAGTGAAAAGTGGAATCAGCATTAGTAATGATGGCAAAAGGTAGAAAACAAAATAAACAGCTTAGTGAAAAGTGGAATCAGCATTAGTAATGATGGCAAAAGGTAGAAAACAAAATAAACGGCTTAGTGAAAAGTGGAATCAGCATAATGATGGCAAAAGATAAAAACAAAATAAACAGCTTAGTGAAAAGTGGAATCAGCATTAGTAATGATGGCAAAAGGTAGAAAACAAAATAAACAGCTTAGTGAAAAGTGGAATCAGCATTAGTAATGATGGCAAAAGATAAAAAACAAAATAAACAGCTTAGTGAAAAGTGGAATCAGCATTAGTAATGATGGCAAAAGGTAGAAAACAAACCCCAAAAAGCAGATCTGCTCCAGTTAGACAGCAATGACAGTAATGACCAGGAGGTTTTGCTTGATGCTTGTGATATCACATGTACTTTGTAGTAGTAGGAAGGGGAATCCCCATGTCATGTTTGTGATATCACATTTACTTTATGGTAGTAGGGAGGGGAATTCCCATGTCATGAAGGGAGGAGAATCTCCATGTCATGTTTGTGATATCACTATGTACTTTGTAGTAGTAGGGAGGGAATCCCCATGTCGTTTGTGATATCATATGCTATCAGTAGTAGTAGGAAGGGGAATCCCTGTCTTGTTTGTGATATCACATGCTATCAGTAGTAGTAGGAAGGGGAATCCCCATGTCATGTTTGTGATATCATATGTTATCAGTAGTAGTAGGAAGGGGAATCCACATGTCTTGTTTGTGACATCACATGCTATCAGTAATAGTAGGAAGGGGAATCTCCATGTCATGTTTGTGATATCACATTTACTTTATCGTAGTAGGGAGGGGAATTCCCATGTCATGAAGGGAAGAGAATCTCCATGTCTTGTTTGTGATATCACATGTTATCAGTAGTAGTAGGAAGGGGAATCCCCATGTCATGTTTGTGATATCATATGTTATCAGTAGTAGTAGGAAGGGGAATCCCCATGTCATGTTTGTGATATCACATGTTATCAGTAGTAGTAGGAAGGGGAATCCCCATGTCATGTTTGTGATATCACATGCTATCAGTAGTAGTAGGAAGGGGAATCCACATGTCATGTTTGTGATATCACATTTACTTTATCGTAGTAGGGAGGGGAATTCCCATGTCATGAAGGGAAGAGAATCTCCATGTCTTGTTTGTGATATCACGTGTTATCAGTAGTAGTAGGAAGGGAAATCCCCATGTCATGTTTGTGATATCACATGTTATCAGTAGTAGTAGAAAGGGGAATCCCCATGTCTTGTTTGTGATATCACATGTTATCAGTAGTAGTAGGAAGTGGAATCCCCATGTCATGTTTGTGATATCACATGCTATCAGTAGTAGTAGGAAGGGGAATCCACATGTCATGTTTGTGATATCACATGTTCTTTATAGGTGTAGGAAGGGGAATCCCCATGTCATGGTTGTAGGAAGGGGAATCCCTATGTCATGGTTGTAGGAAGGGGAATCCCTATGTCTTGTTTGTGATATCACATGTTCTTTATAGTTGTAGGAAGGGGAATCCCTATGTCATGTTTGTGATTTCATACATATTGATGCAGGAAGACATTGTTTGGACATCATGCATTTATTTTCTGTTTGATTTATATACTTAACCTCATCACCATCAGACAGATTTATTAGTATAATCCTTTTATAGTTATGAATTTGAGCATATTTGCCGATTGAGTGTAGGAATGCCCTTCTAACTCCATAAGTAGTACTTTTAGTATATTATGTAGGTGTTGTTGTCCTCTATTTTACACCAGTTGTAGATATCAAATTTCATGATTGTTGTCTGTAATTATTGTGTATTTAGAATGTTTATTAGTATGCTTTCACACGCTAATTAACCTGACATTGATTACTAATCCGCATACACTATTTGCTTTATTAATTATGTGGTTTAGTTAAGTGTTTGTTGGTCTTTTTTTCTCGTCGAAAAATGGTTCCCCATAAAATATATATGTAATTTATTGCTATAATTACATGAAAGTCAAATTAAAATAAAACTGTAATAAAAACGTGCAGGCCAGTGGTATACATACTGGCCACTGGTATATGTACCAGCCATTGGTATACTGGCCACAGGTATATGTACAAGTCACAGGTATACGTACAAGCCACAGGTATACGTACTGGCCACAAGTAAACATATCGGCCACGAGTATACATGCCGGCCACAGGTATACATGTCAGCCAAGGGTATACATACCGGCCATAGGTGTATGTACTAGCCACTGGTATACATACTTGCCACTTGGACTTGGTATAAGTCTCTTTTTTGTGATTTTTCTTTCTTCTTTACTGATTTATTTTCATTCAACAGACTTGAGAATCCAGTTATAGAATTTGTAACAGTGATAATGAAATACAATCAATTGATGATGATATCCAAAGATTGTCAAGGTACTAGTAGGTTGTTTTGCTACACAATCTCAAAGGATGGAATTACCAAATTTCAATTTGAGAGGTGGAATCATCAAAAAAAGGGTGCAGCTGATAATTAATTGTAATGGAAATCTTACAACAAGGTATATTTGCAATCAATAGAAATGCATGCTTATAGGATATCTGACCAGATTAGTATTTCATATTGAAATGACAATATATACCACATGTGACTTAATGTCAAGATATGAGAAGTGACAGCACATGTGACTAAATGTCCAGTCATGAGAAGTGGCAGTACATGTGACTAAATGTCCAGTCATGAGTAGTGGCAGTACATGTGACTAAATGTCCAGTCATGAGAAGTGGCAGTACATGTGACTAAATGTCCAGTCATGAGAAGTGGCTGTACATGTGACTAAATGTCCAGTCATGAGTAGTGGCAGTACATGTGACTAAATGTCCAGTCATGAGTAGTGGCAGTACATGTGACTAAATGTCCAGTCATGAGTAGTGGCAGTACATGTGACTAAATGTCCAGTCATGACAAATGACAGTACATGTGACTAAATGTCCAGTCATGAGAAGTGGCTGTACATGTGACTAAATGTCCAGTCATGAGTAGTGGCAGTACATGTGACTAAATGTCCAGTCATGAGTAGTTGCAGTACATGTGACTAAATGTCCAGTCATGACAAATGACAGTACATATGACTGAATGTCCAGTCATGAGTAGTGGCAGTACATGTGACTAAATGTCCAGTCATGACAAATGACAGTACATGTGACTAAATGTCCAGTCATGAGTAGTGGCAGTACATGTGACTAAATGTCCAGTCATGACAAATGACAGTACATGTGACTAAATGTCCAGTCATGAGTAGTGGCAGTACATGTGACTAAATGTCCAGTCATGAGAAGTGGCAGTACATGTGACTAAATGTCCAGTCATGACAAATGACAGTACATGTGACTAAATGTCCAGTCATGAGTAGTGGCAGTACATGTGACTAAATGTCCAGTCATGACAAATGACAGTACATGTGACTAAATGTCCAGTCATGAGTAGTGGCAGTACATGTGACTAAATGTCCAGTCATGAGAAGTGGCAGTACATGTGACTAAATGTCCAGTCATGACAAATGACAGTACATGTGACTAAATGTCCAGTCATGAGTAGTGGCAGTACATGTGACTAAATGTCCAGTCATGAGAAGTGGCACTTTTCATGCACCTATATTGATTTATTGTACAATGTATGTTGTGTTATACTAACAAATGTTTTATGACCAGTTATGGCAGTATTGATTATTCATAACGAAGAAATACAGGGCAATGAAAAATATTTTCCTTGAAGTCCTGTGCGTCTATTCAAATACCACTAGCTTCCAGTGTTCCTTATAGGATCGATGCTGGGTTAAATTTGGTCGTACCAGAATGATATTTTACAATGTTGATTTTTTCTAATGATCTTATGGTATAATATTTACATAAGCATATTTAATACTTAAATAGGATTATTGTTATTAGTTATATAAGGACAATTTACGTTTCCTACTGGTAAGAATGATTATACTTCTGTGATAGGGTTAATTTTCAGATACACATTGTTCAGTTTATTCAGTAGATTATACATAAACTGAGTTACTGATCGTTTTCATGTTTGTTTAGAAGTTTAACACAACACATCATTAATCATGTACAGTATTATATACTGTATTATACTGCAATACTCCTAGAGGGCCAGCACAAAACACTGTGGGTATTCTCAGGGATGGATTTTTTTACAATAACATAGCAATATTGCATTATAAGTTCACTGAACAACAGCAAATATAGAGGTGGTTATTTTCAATAAGTACACACAAATCACTAACTTTGACTAACTTAACTAGCTTAATGTACACAATGTGTTTTGCATGTCATTGAACCAGAATTGACCTGTCATGCTGCCTGTTTTCCTTTTTGGAATAAATTTATCTGTTGGTGTTGATATCCTTATGACAGAGATAATCATTTGATATTCTTTGATAACAATATCACAATAATGTTATTATCATATGACTTGTATGATATATCGATATATTAATGAGAGTGCAGACAAATATTATGGAACAGGTCAGTTATGTCAATTATACTACCCATTGTTATCAACAGAGTAACCAATTAATATTGTGTATTTTTGTGTCATTAAATGATCAAATCTTTGTTTATGGTACAGGTAACTTTTATGTCTTACCTTTGAAGATAATATTGGTTCTAATTAATAACAATACAGTGATGACTTACACCTGACTAATAACAATACAGTGATGACTTACTCCTGACTAATAACAATACAGTGATGACTTACACCTGACTAATAACAATACAGTGATGACTTACACCTGACTAATAACAATACAGTGATGACTTACACCTGACTAATAACAATACAGTGATGACTTACACCTGACTAATAACAATACAGTGATGACATACACCTGACTAATAACAATACAGTGATGACATACACCTGACTAATAACAATACAGTGATGACTTACTCCTGACTAATAACAATACAGTGATCTCCTGACTAATAACAATACAGTGATGACTTACACCTGACTAATAACAATACAGTGATCTCCTGACTAATAACAATACAGTGATGACTTACACCTGACTAATAACAATACAGTGATGACTTACTCCTGACTAATAACAATACAGTGATGACTTACACCTGACTAATAACAATACAGTGATGACTTACACCTGACTAATAACAATACAGTGATGACTTACACCTGACTAATAACAATACAGTGATGACTTACTCCTGACTAATAACAATACAGATAATAACAATACAGTGATGACTCCTGACTAATAACAATACAGTGATGACTTACACCTGACTAATAACAATACAGTGATGACTAATAACAATACAGTGATGACTTACACCTGACTAATAACAATACAGTGATGACTTACACCTGACTAATAACAATACAGTGATGACTTAACACAATAACAATACAGTGATGACTTAACAATACAGTGATGACTTACTGACTAATAACAATACAGTGATGACTTACACCTGACTAATAACAATACAGTGATGACTTACACCTGACTAATAACAATACAGTGATGACTTACACCTGACTAATAACAATACAGTGATGACTTACACCTGACTAATAACAATACAGTGATGACTTACTCCTGACTAATAACAATACAGTGATGACTTACACCTGACTAATAACAATACAGTGATGACTTACTCCTGACTAATAACAATACAGTGATGACTTACACCTGACTAATAACAATACAGTGATCTCCTGACTAATAACAATACAGTGATGACTTACTCCTGACTAATAACAATACAGTGATGACATACACCTGACTAATAACAATACAGTGATGACTTACTCCTGACTAATAACAATACAGTGATGACTTACACCTGACTAATAACAATACAGTGATGACTTACTCCTGACTAATAACAATACAGTGATGACTTACTCCTGACTAATAACAATACAGTGATGACTTACTCCTGACTAATAACAATACAGTGATGACTTACTCCTGACTAATAACAATACAGTGATGACTTACACCTGACTAATAACAATACAGTGATGACTTACACCTGACTAATAACAATACAGTGATGACTTACACCTGACTAATAACAATACAGTGATGACTTACACCTGACTAATAACAATACAGTGATGACTTACACCTGACTAATAACAATACAGTGATGACTTACACCTGACTAATAACAATACAGTGATGACTTACACCTGACTAATAACAATACAGTGATGACTTACACCTGACTAATAACAATACAGTGATGACTTACACCTGACTAATAACAATACAGTGATGACTTACACCTGACTAATAACAATACAGTGATGACTTACTCCTGACTAATAACAATACAGTGATCTCCTGACTAATAACAATACAGTGATGACTTACACCTGACAAATAACAATACATTGATAACTTACACCTGACTAATAACAATACAGATGACATACACCTGACCAGTGAAAAATAACAATCCAATGACACACGACTAATAACAATACAGTGATGACTTTAAAGATGACGATGAAGAATACACATCAGTGGAACGCACACACACAACACGCACAGAAAAAATCACACACAATAGACGGTCAAGGTCAGCCAAAAAACTTGACCTTGGAGCAGCATCAACATATGGCAAAGACAAAGATTCTGTAGTAAGTGTGATAATAAAAGTTAATTGCTGAATAGAAAATTGACTTTTGTCAGTTTAAAGTAGAAGCTTATATCCATTGTTTAGATAATGCCAAGTTGTTATAAAAATTGATAAGATTGTATGGCAGTCATTTCATCACATACTGTACAGTATAGTGCTGTAAAGGACAAAGTAGTGATGATACATATTCTAACATACTCACGGTTAAATACACAATGCCAATAAGTGTATGTGTATAACATCATCTACATCAATGTCGGTGATAAATTTTTAACATATTAATGAGACAAATTGTTTTGTCCATCATCATCACATGGTATTTTGTTCAAAGCAGCCCATATGTCCAGAATCCATCCTTGATCAGTAGCTTGAATGATAACAAAATTATGGAAAAGATATTATTTGAAAAAAAATATATGAAATTAAGTTTCATATGTAATGCGGTAATGCAGTAACAACTTACAGCAGGAGGCTATTATCACTGGTACAGAGATAATCAGAGCCACAAAGGATTCGGGTCAGTCCTCTTGATCTGATATCACTGGTACAGAGATGATCGGAACTACAAAGGAATAGGGTCAGTCCTCTTGATCTGATATGTCTGGTACAGAGATAATCAGAACCACAAAGGATTCGGGTCAGTCCTCTTGATCTGATATCACTGGTACAGAGATGTTCGGAACCACAAAGGATTCGGGTCAGTCCTCTTGATCTGATATGTCTGGTACAGAGATGATCAGAACCACAAAGGATTCGGGTCAGTCCTCTTGATCTGATATCACTGGTACAGAGATGTTCGGAACCACAAAGGATTCGGGTCAGTCCTCTTGATCTGATATCACTGGTACAGAGATAATCAGAGCCACAAAGGATTTGGGTCAGTCCTCTTGATCTGATATCACTGGTACAGAGATAATCAGAGCCACAAAGAATTTGGGTCAGTCCTCTTGATCTGATATCACTGGTACAGAGATAATCAGAGCCACAAAGGATTGGGATCAGTCCTCTTGATCTAATATCACTGGTACAGAGATGATCAGAACCACAAAGGATTCGGGTCAGTCCTCTTGATCTGATATCACTGGTACAGAGATGTTCGGAACCACAAAGGATTTGGGTCAGTCCTCTTGATCTGATATCACTGGTACAGAGATAATCAGAGCCACAAAGGATTGGGATCAGTCCTCTTGATCTAATATCACTGGTACAGAGATAATCAGAGCCACAAAGGATTGGGATCAGTCCTCTTGATCTAATATCACTGGTACAGAGATAATCAGAGCCACAAAGGAATAGGGTCAGTCCTCTTGATCTGATATCACATCACTTGTACAGAGATAATCAGAGCCACAAAGGATTCGGATCAGTCCTCTTGATCTGATATCACATCATTTGTACAGAGATAATCGGAACCAGGAAGGATTCAGGTCAGTCCCTTGATCTGATATCACTGGTACAGAGATAATCAGAACCAGGAAGGATTCAGGTCAGTCCTCTTGATCTGATATCACTGGTACAGAGATAATCGGAACCAGGAAGGATTCGGGTCAGTCCTTTTGATCTGATATGTAGAAATTGCCAAAAAATTTCAGTGTTGTTCTAGGATTATCGAATCTCTGTTCGGTTGACTATTCGAGTGTGGTGTTGATGAGATATTTTTATCTTTCATTAAGATTTTAAAACCTGTTACCAGGTAAAATGGTGATCATGTTTGCTCACATAAAACATGATGGAGTACTGTATCTGTGGTACAGGTCAGAGGTTATCTTGTCTACATTATTGCCTTTCATGTTTTCAGTCTCAGGTTAGTAGCAGCAGTTTAACAAACAATGGTCCAAGCCTGATTGACATGGGTCTAGGTGGAGCCGATAACTCTCAGGAAACAGCAGATTTTGCTGACTTCAAGTCTGCCAATTCAAATGGAGATTTCAATCCCAGGGCTGCTACATCTCCACAAGGTATTGTGTTTAATCAGGGATTCAGCAGGGGATATGACTGTTGTTTGGGAAATCTGGGAGAACACATGTATTGATAAATTATGATAAAGAATATGTTATGAATTGTTTAATTTCTGTATTTGTTGATTTCTGTAATAAAAGATTCAGAAAGAGGCTGAGAATATTTTCATTCCTTCAAAGGCTCTCTTAATAAATTTCATTTGATGTATTTTTTTTAAAGAAAAGGTCATAAACCCCAAATTGTTGTTACAGATTGGCTTTGAAAACACATTAGATTCGATTTTGTTCTCTTATTTAAGGTTGTAAATTTGATTGATAAATTAAAACCTTGTAAAGGATGATAAATTGATAACCTTGTAAAGGATGATAAATTGATAACCTTGTAAAGGATGATAAATTGATAACCTTGTAAAGGATAATAAATTGATAACCTTGTAAAGGATGTTATCTTGTAACATTAAAATTATCTTTCCTTTTGTCCCAGGTACAGGAGACTTTGCTGATTTCTCACAATTCCAGAGTAGCACATCCACAGCACCAGCTGGGTAAGTAGATATCAAAATTTATATTCTGCTATTCCTTCTCTGACAGTGTCAGAAATATTTTTGAGTGTTGCTCAGATCTTTCTTGTATGTCTATGTTTATTGGAATTTCCTGTCCCTGTCATTAGACTTGCAGTCTCGACAAGATTCAGTTTAAACACACTATATTTTCTGCTAACACGGAAAAGGTCAAGTTTACTCTTATCTTTAATAAAAACATTGATGGTCAGATCTGGTTTTCCAAGCTTCTTTAAGTTAAAGTTCTGAAAAGAATTCAGAGTGAGTGGTGCTATTGTCTTGTATGATTAAACTGATATTGTTATATTTATGTTTTGTCAATGTTTGCTTTACTTTTAATCACACAAAAGAAATATCTATTTATTCTTGTATAATGTATTATATTTATTCTGAAATAAGCCCTGGGTCTTGCAGATATTGATAAGAAATTGGGGAGGTCTTATATTCAGATAAATACAGTAATATATGTTTAGATGTGGGGAAAATTATATTGATTTCCATTTGTTGGCATATTGTTGCTAGAAAATATTGTTTTTGTTATCTGCCGACTGATATAGATGCTCTTTGTTTCCAGGAATAGTAACGAGTTTGCAGATTTTACCGCCTTCAATGCAGCAGGAGGTGGGTCATCAACTGCCCAGTCTACCCAGTCTGGAGACAAGGAGCTATTTGATATGTTTGGTGGAGCCAGTGGCGCCAGTGGTGCTGGTGGAGCTATGCCAACTCAACAAACATCAAACGTCCCCCTGCAGGCAATGGGGTCACAACCAATTGCCCCAATGAGTGGAAATTTAATGAGCCAACCAATGACATCAATGGGGAACTTTGGAGCACAGCCTGTAATGATGGGAATGACCCCAGCTCCCACAGTTCCTATGCAAGGAAACACAGTGAGTAACAGATGCAGACACAAATACTCATTAACTTGAAAATGAAAGCTAGGCTTCATTGTGTCATTTTTATGTAAAAGGGGGCACAAAATGGCTCATTGTTGATATGTTCTGTGGAAACCTGTTATATAATATTGAAAGCAATTATTTTATGGAAATATTAATTACACTTGATGTTGATTTGAAAATAAATCATTTTGGGTATGCTTAAAGACTTGATTCTGCTGAAATAAGTAGTTATGAATTGGTTGAAATGTGTATGTTTACATAAAGAAGTGATACATATGTTAATAAGGATAGCGAATCACAAGGAGTCTCAAAATCAACATACACACTCTACAAAACTGGCACAGTCCATTTCATTGATTCTCTACATATCTTTTGTATGAGTTTTGCAATAATAATCATTTTAAGATATTTGTGTGAAACTAATTTTTTCAAGAATCTGAAGGTATTTTGAGTTGACCAATATATAACAATAACAACAATATATTTCTATATGGTTTATAAATATCATAAAGACAGGTTGTTTGATGAAACTCTTTTCCTTACAGATGAATATGACACCACAGATGCAGCCTGTTGGTATGATGCCAGGAAATATGTATGGAGGCATGCCAAATATGGGCATGCAGCAGGTATGGTCTTTAGTAAATGTGAACCAGAAGGTGATAAAGTCTTTTAAGTTAAGGGATGCAATGAGTGTTTAACTGAAAGCTTTCATTCTCAAAGACAAGTTAAAGTATATAAGAGGACAGACCAACATCTAATGAGTTAATGTTGACAAAGGAGATCTAATTTTAATTGAAATGTTGGAACATTAAGGACCCAGAGGGGTCAATTTCAAGGGTCACACATGATACTCTTGGGGGTCTAGAAAGGTGTATCAGATTTAAGAGTGGGATATGAAGGATGAAGGTATGAAATTCAAGGGCATTTCAGGAGACCATAGTTTAATACAGACAAGCGTATTTTTATGTAATCAAACTATAATGATGCTCCCAACATTATACTGAGCAAGGATCAGATTATCTATCTGGTTGACCCTGGTCACTTAACATTTCATAAGCGGCCCGAGGAAATATTTCTAAGGCAGTTATGACTGCAATGATTCCATGTCATAGTGTCTATATGATATTCAAGACATATTAAGATGACAAACAGAAAAAGTTGCTATATTTATAGAAAATCAGGAAATTGGCCTCAGATCATTGCTTTTGTAAACTTTTACTTTGTTTCAAAAATATAAGTTTGTCAGAAAATGAGATCAATTTGTGTTTTTTTTTATTTCCAGCCCATGATGCAAGGCAATATGATGGCACCTGGACTCCAGCCAATGGGAAGAGGTTACTCATCTGGTATGGGAATGCAAGCAGGAAGTACCATGAAGGTAGGTGATTTCTGATTGGATGGTTTACTAAACATGTATTGACCTTTGACACCAGACTCAACTTTACAGGGTGATGGACACAGGTTGGTATTAATTCTGCATGGGTCTCGGTAACTGCACCTTTGTCATGAGTTTTCCATCACATTTGGCCTTATGAAATATGGATGAGCTTAAATTGATTGGGTAGAAAGGCTAATATGTGTAATATGTTTGAAATCAGTCAAATTAGATAGGTATTTGTCCTTAATAGTATTGATGCTACTTTCTGTGAAATTTCAAAAAAGAACTTTTTTTCCACCATTCACTGATTTGTCTTCTGTTTTTGGAGCCTAAGATTTCTCTTTAAAACAGTCGGGTAGGACAGATTGTTTACGTTAAACTTTTGAACTTCAAGGACTGCCTTTTGTTAACTTGCCTATTCAAGAAAGGAAGGTCACAGCTGATACTGTTATCCTTGCATCAATGGTGGTCAACCTTAAAATGTTGAGCAAGACCAGATTATCACTATCAAGAGTTATTTAGATGATTGAAGCATCAAATAAAATCAATATGCAGAATGATGTTTTACTTACATAAAGACACCAAATTTCTGAAATTTTGAGGGCAAGTCTTAGGTTTAAAGTTTCTTATCAAGTCTTCTTCAAATAGTACTGGATTACAAAATATCAAGGGGCAGTTAATTGTTATATAGTTAAAGCAATAACAGGAATCCTTATCAATGGCACACAATATCTTTCATATCTATGGGGCCCAAAAGCAAGTCTTGCATAAAGCTGTAGCATATAGGGTTGTTTGTTTGATAATCAAACAGTATTTATTTGAAATATGTCATCAATAAGCAAACTGTACTATTCCACAACAGCTCGTTTACACATGTAGTTGTCACTGAGAGAACATGCAATGATGGAAGGTGGTGAGAGTGCTGTAATTACTCCCTAACTAATTTGTCAGACTAGAAAATCAGCCCTTCAAACAGCCTTGGGTTGGACACGCAAGAGGCGCCCTTTGGTCTGAGATATATTTGTCACACCTTTAAGATCAAAACATTTTTTTAATCTTTGTACAAGACATCAGCTGATTCTGAAATTCAAGAGCTGACGAACAGTAGCTATGTGTTAAGATAATGACTGTGACAGGTATCTCTAACTCCTTACTGTGTTGGTCAATGAACCCCTCCCTCATTACTCCAGTAATCAGCACATATTGGACGTTCATGTTTGTTTTACTGTCATGTTGCTTTGACATATATATTGCCTGATGTATACTTCAATGTCCATGCTGCTAGTATTTATCATGCACAATGTCCCAGCCAATGGGCAAGTTTTTGCAGTAAATACACTGTTTAACCCAGTGGAGTTGCTGGTTTCTAATTTGACTGATACGAAAAAGATGTAGGTAGTTTTACAGTTATTATGTTTGGTACTCTCTTTTAAGAACAGAACAATGTTTGTTTCAAGCAGGCATTACACAGCGAACATATAACAGTATTTGCAGGTTCTGTCAGATGGCTGTAAGAGAAATTAAATTCCTTATGTACGATTCACATCTTTGTTATGCTCAAGTATTAAAATAAATTCTTGTGTAATCTAATACAATTGTACATTGTATAAAGCAGTTATCTTGTTACTTTAAGAATATATTGTAAAAATAACTTAATGAATTGAAAGTATTTTTTTTAAATGCAGACATGTTTTTACTACAATACTTGTGATATGATTTAATTTAACATTATTGCTTGAGGAACATGTTGCTTACAATCAATATTTGGAAGAATACTTGTTTTATGAAGCTTCATTGTCAATACATATTTCTATGAAATGCAGGAATATGGTTTTTACAAATACTAATCAAGTTATGATGTTATAGCAGCAATGTTAAGGCTAAATACAAATAAAAAGAGGTTTTATTACTGCTCACAAAAAAATCTGTCTCACATGTTCAATATATATATTTACCTTACTGTAGAATAAAGCCTCTTCTGTCTATTCCTGGTACATGTATAAATGTACTGATGATGGGTGTGCTCCCTTCAATGCCTTGGTGAGGGCTGCATGCAAATTGGTGAAATGAAGCATTGGGTTCTGCCATATATACACTACACACTGGCATTATACATCTTATGCACTAGTATGAATTGATATATTTAGCATGCGCCAATATGTAAAGAGAAGAAAAAATCAACGCTAAGGAATTAGGAGACAACTGTTGGGAGTTAGAATATATTGTAGGATTTATTCAGGCTTAGATCACATGTACATACATATCTTCATGTCGCGCATCAGTAATCATCTCATTACATTGGAACTAGTTTTTGTTTAAACATTTTGTAGTGTAGATTTAGTACAATACGACTTTTGATTTGACTTCTATGTAACTTATATTTTACATCATTAATACTCTAATCATTTTGATATAAGGTCTTGGTATTTAAGGTGATTAACAGAAAAAGCAAAAGTGTGCAATGTGTTTATATATACAGATAGGAAAACAGGGAGGTTTTGGGTACAAATTAAAAAGAAAGGGTTTTCAGGAGCTTTAACTGTTGCCCTAATTCTGTTTCACACTTAAATCTGAATACTGAAGTAATCAGAAATAAAACATGATGTTACTGGTAGGACGGTGCTACTTATTTGAAAATGAAGACATTTCCAGATCATGTAATATTTTATAACATTGTCAAAACACTGATGTTTGTCAACGAAATAAAAGTCCCAGAAACAATCATCAAACATTACAATCTAAAGAGAGTTGTCTCCCTGTAAGGCAGATAGTCATTCTCCCTGTATTAGATTATGGATGTCTTTTGTTGTACTAACATGTAATTTATATGGATGTTAATTATACAATGTGTCAACAAGACAAAGCTTCTGTTCAATCTGTTTGTTATAGATTATACATGTATATATATATTATCTGGTACATCATTTTGTTATGTTGGAGCTACAGCATGGTGGTGGTGATATGTATAGTGGGCCTCTGTTAGTCAAGATACTATATGAGAGTAAGCTTTATAATTTCTGTTGATTATTGATTGATGCAGTGTGTGTTAAATCAGCTTCTTGTCTTAGAGCTGTTCTACATACCTAGCGTAATATTTACCCTAGACATGGGAGTTTTTGACATATAAACTTCTACTTTTACTCCATACATGCACTTTGCTCAAAAAATCCCCAATATGCCTATATAGTGCAATGACTTGTAATTATTTAACTGTTATTAAGTAAATAACTGATAAAGAACTTGAAAGGCTGTGCATGTCTTTTGTTGTACTAACACAGTCTGATTGATGAAGATGAGATGGAGAACACTTTTATAGAGTCTGGATTAACAGAGGCCAACTGTACTTGTTTGTTACAAAAGGCAGGGATTTATGTGGAATTTTTGCACATAGTTTGTAGTTCATATATATATGTAATCATGTGCACTCGTGGCTATGTATGGAGAGAGGAAGCAAATTGTTTATTTTCTACATATATATCAAATCACTTTTTTATTGAAATTGTTTTCTTAATGAAGATTTTACCATATTTTCTGTGTCACTTTATCAATGTGCAGATGTTATTGTTAATCATGAAAATACAAAGTATTGATATCAACAGTACATCATAGATACTGAAGTCTTAGTTTGTATAAAAAGTGTCATGTCTACAGTCTTATTATAAGATTATCATTTCATACTTTTGTTATTACATATCATTATTATTATAAGTTAAAACACTTGTATATCTCACTTGTTATTGTTTTCTGTATATTGTGTTGGTGGTTCAGTATCAAATATATATGTATCAGTTAATATTCTTATTATTTTTTTTTTTTTTTTAAGTTTGCTTTGAAAGTTTTTTCCTTTTCTGTTGTTTTATTGTTGTTAATTTGTTGTCATTCAATATGCTATATCATTTGTATCTTAATAACAGTGATACGTATACATCTGTGTTCAAGTACTGTGATGATAAAATAATCACTCTTCCCTAACAGTCTCCACTTTAACCACATAAATAGTTGGGTTTCCCTTCCATATGTTGATAATGCCAGAGTATTATGGTTTATTTCAGTCTGCCTTCTTTTCAAAAAGTCAAGTTTGTAAGAACTATTATCATATCACAGTTTAAATCATTAACGTTATATGAATTTTATTATTTTGTATTCCCCTACCATTTTAGTGAGTTTAAAGCATTTGTCAGTCATTTGTTAACAGCTCAGTGCCAGGAGGAATGGAATCAATATACAAATAGCAAATTGCACTCTATAAAACCTATTGTCGGTGAATGGTCTCCGTCCTATAGAGACAACCACAAAGACAAAGTTGTCTTGCCCTTCTTTGAAGGGGCCATACTTAACTTACACATTCATATATGTTGATAATTCTCGGTGCATAGGAAGTGATGAGCCATTTATAGTTAAACTTTTTTTATTGGACAACACCTGGGTTATGTAAAAATTGTTGGTCTGTGTTATAGGGTATACTTCATCATTTTGATCTTTTCGTAAAATATACAAGATTTTCAACATTTGTCTTGTACCTTTTAGTTTGTTTGATGTTGATTCCTTTTGGATCGCAGTGTCTTTCACCGATTGATGGCCCTAATGGCCTTTTATGTGTTGATGGGCCGTTAAGACTATAGAAAATAAATAAATAAATAACTTCCATTTTATGGGTTGGTATATACCATTTGTCCAACCTGTCATATTTGATTCCATCGCGCTGTTTTTTGTCCTGCCCCATTTAATGAACATTTAAATCTGGATTTAACATGTAAAGAGATTTTGTTGATATTTAGATATGTAGGTTTCCATCGGTCCTTAGTTGTGCATTATTCCATTTTTGGGGTTGATCTTACAAACAAAATGGGCACCAAGTGGCCATCTTTGATTTTGATAGCAATAAATGTTTTCAATATTTCTTGAGAAGTACTGGATTGATCATTGATCATTCTTGAATTTCATACATAGATTCCCACAGTCCCTATATGTACATTGTCCCATAATGATTTTGACAGTGAAAGCTGGTTAGGTTATTGAGAAGTATGTGATGGATTGTTCTCAAACTTCATATGTAGACTCTTCTTGTTTTCCAGTTATGTATTGTTTGATGTTGGGACTGATAAAACAAATAGGCCATCATCTTGAATTTTGACACTAATGAATTGATATCACTATATCTGGAGAGGGGTTTGATGGATTGTTCTCAAATTCCATATGTAGATTCACCTTTGTCCCAAGTAGTGTGTAGTTTATCTTGAGACTGATCTGATGAAGGTTCTGTTGTTCCCCAGTTTTGCATTGTTAAATTTTGGGACTGATTTTGCAAAATGATAATGTAAGTAGATGGTGATCTTTTTTAACTGTCATGATTTGTTATCCTTATTTTGTGGAAAGAAGTGGAAGGATCCCCCCTAAATTTTATATGTATCTTCCCTTTCATCCCTTGTTGTTTTACGCTTTTGATTTTTGGGACAGATCAGAAAAATAAAATTATTAAAAGGTTGCCATCTTGGATTTTAAATATAACAATATTCAACATCAGGGAAACACTGGTTGCATCTTTTAAGATTTCATTTATATTTTTCCTTTGGTCTTACTTTTGTCCGTTTGAATTTAAAACTAATCAGAAAATGGCTGAAAACTGTTTAAGTCATTATCTGAAGAGTAATTTCAAATTTTATAATAATAAAGAGCAAATACAAGGGAAAAAAATAGAACTCTTGTTTAAGGTTATTTTCAAAATAGTTATAGCATTAAAATGTCTTTTTTAAACTTTTTAATTGGATTACTTATAGCTAAAATTTGAGAGGTGTAGTGTCTAAAAAGATTACTGGATAAAATAACACAAGAGGAGATGTAATAAATCTATAACATGATAATGTTATGATTAATGTACTCTATAAAAGATCCATCTTTAGTATAATGTCACTATTGTCCTCTACAAAAAATCAACCGAGAATTGATGTCCTGGCTATGAGATACAGAGTTATACTATATAGGTATGGAGGCTGTTTGAGAAAGTGTTATTCATCATTACAGAAGAAACTTGATGACTAAGAATAATTTTTAGATGATGAGTAATATTTTTGAAAAAAATTTGATCACATAATGGAGCAAATTATCCACAAAATGATACAGCATGTTGGAGTTATTGTCAGTACAACACCAGGCAGGGATGTGTAACACCCGAGTCATTTGCAGTGTGATAAGCTAACTTTAAGTTGCCATGTCCATTTTTCACAGTCAGTCTCGAAGGAGGCAAGCTTGTCTAGTACAACTGTATCTGCCACCCACTCACAAACCACAGTCACCCCTAAGGTGGGTACCCCATTTTTTGTCTAACAATCCCAGTCCTGAAGCACTCACAAGGAAAGGTAACTCTGCTAGATGTCTTTCCCATTCCACTAGTCTTACTCAAATAACTGTCCTGGCAAGTAAACAAAATTAACTCGCCTCTACTTCTCGTAAAATTTTGAAAAATGGTTGGTAAAAGATTGATTATTGATCATTTGCTGAAAAAAAAGAAAGGGGAAAAAACTTTGAATGAAATAATAGGTTTTATTAGGGTTTCTTTTTTATTTTTTTTTTGTCAATTTTTCATCATTATATACATTTTAGATGAATTTGTGACAACTAAGTTATCCATTTCAGGACAGTTATTGTGTGCCCAGGAAACATGGGATAATAAGATTTCTTATTTTAAACAGATTATTCATTATAATGCAAAACTTAATCCACTTCAATATTTTTTTTTCATAATTGTTATAAATTATCATGATGTTTCCATTAATCTGTAGTAATGATATAGTATTGTTGTATTGATACAGCCATTAATGAGCTTTTTCTATAATGTGTTATACAGAATTAAATATCTTCATGGTGTGGTATATACTGTGTATCCTATATATCATTTGATATTCTGCTATAATTGAATGGGCTTGTAATCATATATTGGTTCTGACAATTAAACATTCTTCTTCATATATTATATTATACTCCTTTCCTACTTAAGTTTTCTTTACCTCCTCATTTGTGTGTGTTTATGTATTATCTTAATATTTTCATGTAAAATGAAATTATCATGATGTTTTTATCACAACACTATAGATATTGTAACATACAATGGTTATAAGTGATATAAAATCTATCATAACTGTCCCATGTTTCACAGTAGACAGCTGTTTTATGTGAAAATGATGGGTATCTTGTTTGTAAGTGTAAGATAGCATAGATGAGGCCACCTGTATAGAACACATGGAACAGACAAAATGACATTGTCAACAAATTGATATTGTTGATGAGATGACATTGTGTATGTAAGATGACATTGTGTATGTGAGATGACATTGTGTTGATGAGATGACATTGTGTTGATTTGCTGACGTGTGTTAGATGGCATTGCGTTTGAGATGACATTGTTTTGATGAGATGACATTGTGTTGATTTGCTAATGTGTGTTAGATGGCATTGCGTTTGAGATGACATTGTTTTGATGAGATGACATTGTGTTGATAAGATGACATTGTGTTGATAAGATGACATTTTGATGAGATGACATTGTGTTGATGAGATGACATTGCATTGATGAGATGACATTGTGTTTGTGAGATGATATTATGTTTTTGTGATGATATGTTTTTGTGATGACATTGTGTATGAGATGACATCGTGTTTGTGAGATGACATTGTGTTTGCGTGATTAGATTATGTTTTTGTGATGACATTGTGTATTAGATGACATTGTGTATTAGATGACATTGTGTATGAGATGGTATTGTGTTTGCGAGATGAGATGACATTGTGTTTGTGAGATGATATTATGTTTTTGTGATGACATTGTGTATGAGATGACATTGTGTGTGAGATGACATTGTGTTTGCGAGATGAGATGACATTGTGTATGAGATGACATTGTGTTTATGAGATGATATTATGTTTTTGTGATGACATTGTATTGATGAGATGACATTATATTTGTGAGATGACATTGTGTTGATGAGATGACATTGTGTAGATGAGATGACATTGTGTAAATGAGATGAAAATAACATTGGGTTATGAAGACATTATGTTTTAAACAAATTGTGATGATGAGATCAGATTGTGTATGGGTAAGACAAGTGTCTATAACTTGGTGTTGTTTGTTTGTATAGAAGGATGCCAACACCTGGTCTAAAGATGCTGGTAAGGTTAACATTAGTCTGGATGCTCTAAGCCCTGTCAACAAGTACCAGAAGCAGCAACAGCCAACTATGAATCAACTGCAGCAACAAGGTAGACAACTCTTGTATAATTTTCATATCTTTTAACTACATACATGTACATACTAACATGTTGCAGATCAATTTGTTTTCAGGAATAATTAATGTTATAGAAGGTATTCTTATCAAGATTACCAGATGTTTTCTGTGTAAAATATATTACTCTACTCCAGACACTGTACGTCCTTCCATAAGTGTAGTGAATCAGTACTTAACAGATCAGCAGTCAGCAGCAAGTGTTTTGATATTGGAAGATTATGAGAAGGAGAAGTACATGTCAACCACAAATTACCATTAAGATGCATGTTTATTCGTACTGATCATGCTGCCTTTACAATTTATTTATTACTAATGATGTAAAGTTTTTGCATGATACTTTTAACAAATATTACGAAACAAACTTTTATGTTTCTTTATAAAACATTCTTCTATCACAATCAATATTCTATCTTGTAAATTACCTTTAATTAATTTGATGATCAATAACCTCATTTCTACATTTGTTATACTGATACAATGATAATTCATCCTTTGTCTGCTCGCCAACAGATGGTGATGGTAAATATTAACTACAGTGTGAGAGTTATCCCCCTTTGTCACTAGTACATGTTTCTGGTTTGAATTTCAGCTTAGTAAAATTCTGTTATTTATTACACTTTAAAAGATCTTTGTGATTTTATGTTAGAAATAAAAAATATCTTGATGACAGCATTGATTACTTTATTTTTTTGTTTATTACAAATAAAATGTTTAATAATTTGGTTATTTTCCAATGATTTCATCATTTTCTATTTCACTGGCTCTGTAAAGTCATTTTATTGAAAAATTTATTTGATACTTTGCAATAAAAACCTAATGAGTTGAATTTTCACATTTACATATGAGATGCTACTTGCTTAAATAGGTGACACAAATGGGATTTTAGTTGGTAGATTACTTGGCCCCTGGTAGATAGTGCTAACATTTGCCTGGTCTTTTATCAAGGCTTAAACCCTATGGTATGGAGTCCAGAAATGGCCCCTGGTCTAGTTTACGCTCCCCCAGGTGGGTACGGCACTGAGGCATCTTCTACATTTTGCCTCTTCTCATAGAGTTGTATTTCCTTTGCTTTCTAACTGCATCACTTGATTTTAGTTTCTGATTTTTTTTTTTTTTTTTTGGTTATGGTATTGTTTTAACTGATTTTGACATGTTGTGAATGATGTTTATACAGATACCTCTTTGTAGCTATCTCACTTTCAGACAGATGAGTTCTCTTTTTTCTGTTGATTGGTTAAGTTTGAATACTGTTATACTGAATGGTTTGCTTTCTACCCATATTAATTGTGATTAATTGTTCAGCATCCTAACCATACAATCACGTAAATACTATAAATAGAAAGTGAAAATGCTGTAGGATTACATGGTGATAAGGGATGGAATTAAGTGGCCAGGTGGGGCAATGGTAACAAACTCTCCTTTCACCTAGCCAGGGCTTTAATTCCGGGAATGGAAAGGTAGGGGTCACCAGCCCACCATATACGTTTTACCCAAGTAGTTTGGTTACCTCCTATAAAAAGACCTCTAGCACACTTACATCCAGGCCAATAACAAGGATGAGTATTACTTGAAATAACTTATTTCTTAATTGTTGTAAAATAGATAAAGTTGATGCATAGGGAATTGGATTTTAAAGAAGAAACATTGTCATTATATTTGTAAAGACTGTGTTCCATGTAAAGAGAAACAATTGTGTAAAAACTTTCATTAGCATGTATGTGTTACTACCTCATGTTTAAAACAACAACTCTTGTAATATGAGTCATTAAGTGTTCTTTTTTTGTGATGGATAAGTTATTTCTATATTGGAAATCAGCTGCACTTTTCATTGGCCATTAACACTTGGGAATCAAAACTAGTGGAGCTCTGTGCTGTACAGACTTTGATTTTTCACATGGGAAAGATATCCTTAAGGCAGAGTTAATCATTGGAAATTAGATGGAAAATTTGACATTTAATAAGATATAAACTTTATAAATTGACATAAATATTAAATCACTGTGAATGTTACGATTTCCCAAAAGTATTAGTTTAAGGTTTGTATTGGATTGCATTAATATTGCATGTGAACTCATCAATCGAAAATTTTATCTCGGTTTCTTGTCATTTGTTTGGTATGCATGGATATGACTATTTATATAACGATTGTAAGCCGTATGAACCTACAGAGGCTGTGTGGAGATATTTGTTGAATAGAAGCTTGCATTGGTTTGTAAAAATGTGTGCATTTGTTTGTAAAAATGCTTGCATTGGTTTTTAAATATGCTTGCATTGGTTGTTGTATATGGTTTGTACAATTAATCTGCCTGTAGAGGTTGTGTGTACTAATATGTGTTTGACTGCCTTTGTAGAGACATTGTCATTGCTATCAACACTTAGTTGTCAGTGAATTATCTGGCTACATACAGATATGAGGCCATTGTTGATGTACTATCATAATCCAGTAGTCTGTATAAAACAGGATTTCCCAGCACTTTACTTATTGACAGAATTATCCCATGTTAAATGAACTGAGTAACATGTCAAAATAATACTTTCCAGGATTTGTTTTTGAGAATACCAAATACACCATTATTTATTCCAGTGGAGATGTGACTTTACTCAGGGAACTAACACATGCATGTTAACTTACTACAGAATGAAAACTTCAGAAAAAAATTTTTTTTTTAAACTTATCATTTTCTTTTCTGGGAGGGCAAAACTCTCTAAAGGGAGGTAATTTGAATAACTTAAAAGGGAAGTAGCTTATATACCACAGGTTTTGTGCTAACTGCTCGTTGCATGTTGTTGCAGGCATGAACAACCAGATGGTAGGAATGACCCAGGGCATGGCAGGAATGAGTGTTGGCCAGCCCCAGGGGCAGGTCATGGGTGGCCAGCCAATGATGGGCCAAGGCATGGGTATGCTTCATCTGTACAATATGAAATTACATCATTTTAACTGGGCCTTGCATGTACTTGTGTCACACAATGCACTTGTCTACTAATAATGAGTCTAGTTTTACAATAAAACCAATAGCCATGGCTACAGTGTATTGCCAGGTTTTAGTGATATGTCTTAAATCTTATTTAACAAGATGAACTTTGCAAATCAATAGCATCTGTTTTTACAAAAATATCACAGTAATTATCTCTGATGAAGATTATGAAAAACCTGTTAAGTGGCTTTGATTTTAAAGCTTGGCGTCAATGATTTCCAATATGTTCTGTGTTGTGGATATGAGTTTTGTGTTTATATTACAGGGATGGCTGTAAATATGCAGGGAGGAATGGGCATGATGGGATCTATGAATATGCAGTCCTCAATGATGGGGCAATCTTCATTCCAACAACGAACTGACCAAGCTTTTAGCGCATTCGGAAACATGAAGAAATAAGGAAACAACACTGTTTTAGAATTGTCATAAATAAATATATCGACCAAGCCTTTTTGTTTAGAAATATTCTTTGTGATGTTTCTTTAGTGTAAGTGGTAAAGAAGGGAAAAAAAATAACAGATGGAATCTCCCAGAGTGAAAAAGATATTTTGTTGGGTTATTCTGTACAACTCTTTACTCCAAACATTGAATACAATGTCATTGTATGAAGGAGCCAAACTGAAGGAACGTATTATCTCGGACCAAGTGAGGCAAGTGGAGGAGAAGAGAGATTTGCAAACATATTAAACATGTGACTATCATTCCACCAACACAATATCTAAACAGGAGAACAAACCTAGTGATGATTGATGTAAGGCACATACAGTTTGTGCCTATGGCGTGAAATATACTGTGATAAACCTACTCCTTTTAGTGGGAGACATTTTAGATCTTCTCACCTGTGTTTAAGGCAAAATCATATGGTTTTGTGAGTTCTGGTTTAGCTGCATGGGCTGGGTTTATGTTGGGAGATATTCTTCTAAGTTAGGAATATCTGGAGTGCAGACTGTAAAGGTAGGAAGGGAAGGTCATTTCATTCATCAACAATAGTGTGTTTGTTGGGATAAAAGATCATTAATCCTTGTTGTACATAAAAAATCTTGTGTAAAAATCAGATAATATGATAAAATATTTAAAGAAAAACATGTATATAACAATCTTTTTAAGTTAATTAACTTGTAGGTCAATTAGAAACGATGACAGTGCATTGGAAAAATCCACAGAGCTGCAGAAATTTTGTCCAGAATTTTTGTATGGAATAATTGAATTTACAGAATATTGGGCATGAAAACAAACCAATGAAATTGCAAAACAAGCACTTAAGAGCAGATAGATATGTGAGGAATACAGACTTCATTACATTATTCTCTGCCAAATCTTAAGTCTTTAAGTTATGACAGCTGCTATAATGTATGCATATTATATCATGTTTCAATACCAAGTTTGTTGGTTACAATCTTGCATGTGCTATAAAGTGGAATGCACTGTAAATTTGGTGTTTAAAAAGAAAGAAAATATATGTTTAATGTTTGGATGTACATGTATTTGTAAAATATTGATTATTTTTTTACAAGAAAAGAGTTATTTAACAATCAGTGAGAGCTGGTACATTATTTAATATTATCGATACAACATGCAAGTGCTTTTTCCTGTTTTCTATTATGTTGGGCTGAGCAAAATTCATGGATCCCTAGAAAGGTATTTGTAGATTTAGTACAGACTTTGTTATATACAGTTCTTGTAATCCAATTTTCCTTCCAGTGAAGGTATATTAGAGTTGACAGGAAGAATCCTAACACTTGTATGTTAGATTACAGTCCACACTATTGATACGTATGAAAATATTGGGTGTTTTTTTCAACCTAGGTTTGAAATCGTCTGATGATCAGTATAGCTAAAGTTTTGATAAGTTCCTGTAATTCTCTATAAAGATTAACATTGTCTTCTGATAGCAACCACAATTACATTATCATTCAATAATAACAGAGATCATTTTCATTCCTGAAATCAATTAATGTGGCTCTAATGTTTTCTAAAAAACATGTATGTGATCAGTTATTACATTGTCAAGACATATAGTTAGAAACACACGAGTCATGTGATCTGTTAATGGCATGGCCAAGTCATGTGATCAGTTAATAGCATAGCCAAGTCATGTGATCAGTTATACTGTTCATGTGATCAGTTATGACATGGCCAAGTCATGTGATCTGTTAATGGCATGGCCAAGTCATGTGATCAGTTAATAGCATAGCCAAGTCATGTGATCAGTTAATAGCATAGCCAAGTCTTGTTATAATTTAATAGCATAGCAAAGTTATGTGATCAGTTAATACCATAGCAAAGTCATGTTATAAGTTAATAGCATAGCCAAGTCATGTGATCAGTTAATAGCATAGCCAAGTCATGTGATCAGTTATACTGTTCATGTGATCAGTTATGACATGGCCAAGTCATGTGATCAGTTAATAGCATAGCCAAGTCATGTGATCAGTTATACTGTTCATGTGATCAGTTATGACATGGCCAAGTCATGTGATCATTTATTATATAATTATGACATGGCAAAGATGTGATCAGATATGCACAAGTCATGTGATTAATTATGACATAGCGAAGCCATGTGATCATGATATAGTAAACTCAATTTATTTTCAGCAATTGTGAAACAAGTTAATGGAACAAATACTAATCACTCTTTGTTGGCCCGGATGAAAGCCCACAAAGGGTTTTGTTGTGGAAAGTAACTGAAGTGCCCAGAGAAAATCCATGTGGTGGGGCAGGTGACTCCTCTCCTTTTCACATTCATTCCCGAAATCGAACCCGGATGGTTAGGTGAAAGGCGAGATGGTTACCACTGCACCACTTGATCAACCTGCATGGTGTCATCTAACTAGTGATCACTCAGACAGACAATAAAAATGTAATAAATAGGACAAAAAAGTTATACTTGTATTTTAAAGTATATCCTACATCTGAAGTCTATGACCTTCAGATTGTAGCAGAATATGGAGGTCCAAACGCTATACATCAGAGTAAATATAATATTATTGGTAGACACAGTGATAATATAAAGAGATAGTTAGTCTAAATGTGTCACTAGACTTCTGTACATGTATCACATTTGTGAATATTGTAATAAACAGACAACAGTGTTAATTATAATACAAAGACGTACTAGTAGTGAATCAGAGCTAAGGGATCTGAAATACGTATTGTTATTTAAGTGATATAGTCTAAGAGAGTATTATTTCAATTTTCTTTGTTTTACTAGTATTTACATGTCTTCTGTTTGTATATATGTAAATCTTGTTGATATTTTTAGTCCAAAGTGATAAAAACAGTGTATGATTTTTTCTGATGGATCTCTGAAGGATTTGTATGTAATTATTTGTATGTGTCCAAGTCAGAGCATGCCATACGTGTACTTAATTGATGAACTGATTCTACAGGCAAGAGTCCAGCAAATCCTTACACAATAACAGATACACACTGATAAAGCACTCTGAGCATTTTTTAAGGAGAAGAAATAAAAAGAAGGATTCCTATTTTTCAGATATTTTCCAAAGTGACAAGTTTTAGATATAGTGAATATATTATGGGTGACACTAGTCTACCACAGATACCTCTTTTCTGCCTCCTCCCAGTGCAATATGTGTGCTCATGTCATTTAACTCTGCTGTAGCATCTACAGTGTATGTTCATCACATTAAGTAGCTCCAGGGAGATTTTCGTTAGAAGTAAGCTAATCAGATATACAGGAATGGATTTTCACCATTAAAACACTACAGACTGTGCTAAATTTCAGCATTTCTACACATATTTTTCCTGAAACTTCATTTTCTATTAGCTTCTAGCTCCACTATGTTACATTACCATTCAGGTATTTTTTATTTTTCAAAACATTTATCTTGATAAGAGTTAATTTTACAGAATTGGTACCTTGAGACATCTATGCTTAAGTTTATTACTGCCCTCCTTTTTTAAAATCTCTACTATTGATAATTATTTAAGGGACCAGTCAGTTCAAACTCTTTGTTCACCACCATTACAGAATATATATGATGTTCTGAGTCACCCTTGTATGATCTTTCCAGATCATTTGATAGTTAGCCACCTCAGTACTATCAACAATACCAGTCAATATATACAATCTGATATTGTTATTGGCAGTCTAAGCATAAACGTTTCAAACCAAACTCTGATCAAAATTTGTATATTAGAATACCTGTCTTAGTTTTAGCTGCCCTAGTTGTCACTGTTACCTGTCAGTATCCATGTTAACATGATTAAGAGGTTGGTACACTTTTTGCTCTTTATCATTAATTTACTTACACCTGTATATATATAAACTTGTACAAACTGTATGTCTGTTGTTATTGATGATACATTGTGCTGTTAATGGTAGCACAGGTTGTTCATGTGTGAATGAATAAAAGATAAATGTATGCAGAAAATCGTTTTTTGTTTGTTTTCATAGTGTTTTGTACAGTGTACCAGGTAGAGAAAGTTAATTCTGAATGTGCACTGATTACCTCTCCGTTTTATAGCCCACTATTAGTGAATTGCAGCCACTGGGCTGTTCTATATTGCTCTTCCTTTATAGTCTAGTTTCTGCCCCGTCCTTTAAACATGTTTGTTATGATTATTTCTACAGAACTGGGTGGATCAATTGCAGATTTCATATATGCAAGTCCCCCAGGTTCCATTGGTTCCTGGTTGTGATTTTATGACCGATCAGTAAACGAAAAAAATGGCAGACAGGTGACCATCTTAGATTTTGTTAGTTCTAAGATTCCCTTTCGTCCTTTGTGTATATGCATGTCCATATTTACTTTGGGACTGACCGGAAAAAGAGACTGATTGAAAGGTGACGTCTTAGATTTTGTCAGAGTTTGTTACGTGTCCGTGTATCTCTGAGATCTTTGGAGAAGTACAGTATGTTGTCCATTTAAGGACTGAATGGAAAAGGCAAGGTGACCTACACGAGATAATCTTTGATTTCGACAGTAATAGTTTGTTACTTTTCCTGGAGAACCACTGGATTGGTCATAATCAAATTTAATATGTGGGCTCCCCTTGGTCCAAAGCTGCATAGTTGTACATTCCCTTTTTGGGAACTGATCCGGAGAAAAAAACAAAATGGCCGTCAGGCGGCCTTTGTGGCATTTGACAGTAATGTGTATTAAGGGAGATATTGTAGCTCGCGCATTATCGCGTCTAGTGTGTAGCGTCTAGTACATCTGCCATGTAGCTCTTTAGACTGAGAATCTTGTCACCATCCTCCCCACTCTGGGGAACAGTAATAATGTGACGACTCTGTAACACACCGTTCTACAGTACACAACGCAAACTGATAGATTAAGATTCTTTCCTGTGTGTCAGTTATTATTTGATACAGATACTGATTTCAATGTGTTGGTTTTTAAACTGGTGACACAAGCGCCTTTTTTTCGGGGCTTACTAGATGTAAAAACCATTTCTGAATACGAACTCTTGATTTTTTGTATTACTATTTTACTGTTTAAGAGTGCTAGCTTCGTATGTCTGATCCTCATTTCATTTGCGTGGCCCTGATTTCAGGTGGTACACCTGATCCGTTGTGTCTGATATGCGGTTTTTTACTCAACCTGTTTCGTGTGCCTGATCCTGGTTTCTGCGGTACGCCTGTTTTTTGTGTAATCCTGGTTTTTGGCGCTACACATGTTTCGTTTATGTGAACCTGAGTTTTAGCGCTAACTGTTTCAGGTGTCAGATCCTGTTTTTTTTTTTTTTTTTTAGCGCTTCCTGTTTCGTTTGTGGGATGCAAGGGTTTGTCGTTACAACTATTTCGATTATCTGATCCTGGTTTTGTCGTTACCACTGTTTCGATTGTCGATCCTCGGTTTTGATTTACAACTGTTTCGATTGTCGATCCTCGGTTTTGATTTACAACTGTTTCTATTGCCGATCCTCGGTTTGGCGTGACAACTGTTTCTATTGTCAGCTCTTCGGTTTTGCGTTACAACTATTTCGATTGTCGATCCTCGGTTTTGTCGTCACAACTGTATAGATTGTCGACCCTCGGTTTTGATTTAGAACTGTTTCAATTGTCGATCCTCGGTTTTGATTTAGAACTGTTTCGACTGTCAGATCCTCGGTTTTGGCGTTACAACTGTTTAGATTGTCGATCCTCGGTTTGTCGTTACCACTGTTTCGATTGTCGATCCTCGGTTTTGATTTACAACTGTTTCGATTGTCGATCCTCGGTTTTGATTTACAACTGTTTCTATTGTCGATCCTCGGTTTGGCGTTACAGCTGTTTCTACTGTCAGATCCTCGGTTTTGCGTTACAACTATTTCGATTGTCGATCCTCGGTTTTGTCGTTACAACTGTATAGATTGTCGACCCTCGGTTTGGCGTTACAACTTTTTCTATTGTCAGATCTTCGGTTTTGTCGTTACAACTTTTTCGATGGTGTGATCCTGGTTTTGTCATTACAACTGTTTCGATTGTCGATCCTCGGTTTTGATTTAGAACTGTTTCGATTGTCGATCCTCGATTTTGCTTTAGAACTGTTTCAATTGTCGATCCTCGGTTTGGCGTTACAACTGTTTCTATTGTCAGATCTTCGGTTTTGGCGTCACAACTGTTTCTATTGTCAGATCTTCGGTTTTGGCGTCACAACTGTTTCTATTGTCAGATCTTCGGTTTTGGCGTCACAACTGTTTCTATTGTCAGATCTTCGGTTTGGCGTCACAACTGTTTCTATTGTCAGATCTTCGGTTTTGGCGTTACAACTGTTTCTATTGTCAGATCTTCGGTTTTGGCGTCACAACTGTTTCGATTGTGTGATCCTGGTTTTGTCGTTACAACCGTTTCTATTGTCAGATCTTCGGTTTTGGCGTCACAACTGTTTCTATTGTCAGATCTTCGGTTTTGGCGTCACAACTGTTTCTATTGTCAGATCTTCGGTTTTGGCGTCACAACTTTTTCGATTGTCGATCCTCGGTTTGGCGTTACAACTATTTCTATTGTCAGATCTTCGGTTTTGGCGTCACAACTGTTTCTATTGTCAGATCTTCGGTTTTGTCGTTACAACTGTTTAGATTGTCGATCCTCGGTTTGTCGTTACAACTGTTTCGACTGTCAGATCTTCGGTTTTGGCGTCACAACTGTTTCTATTGTCAGATCCTCGGTTTTGGCATCACAACTGTTTCTATTGTGTGATCCTGGTATCGTTACTTTACTTATTTTTAATTGTTTAAAGTACATAACGTCATTTAAAAGACCTTAATTTTGAAGTCTTAGAAGCGACTGAGGACAATTCAAAGTGATCGAAAGAACTTAGGGGAAAATGTAGCTGGGGAGATGTACTAGTCCCATGGTTACACAAATTCTAAAATTTCATATATCTAATAATTTTAGAACCACGTCTAGTATATATTCTGAACTAGCCGTGCCACTATTCGAATGGATTAAAACGTGTCTACCATCTGAAATATCGAAGATTTAAAAAAAAGACACAAAAAGATTGTTTAAGAGATAAATTCCTTCTCGTTACAAAATATATATTGAATTTTGTAATTAAAGTGGAAGAGAAAATAACGCGAATTGATACTGATATTTTCTAAAATCGCATTTAACTTCTTATTTATTTGTTTTCTTTATACAGTGGGTTGTGTATTGTATTTCCAAACATCATTTGGGTTATTCAGTACAACATAATGTCCACAATGTATCAAATGCGATGAAAAGGCCAACAGCCGCCTCTGCATTAAGACCGCGGCCACGAGCAAGAAATTCTATTACTTTAGGAGTTCCGTAAGAACTCATGGACAGTAAAGCTCAGCTTTTTTCTGTTTTAGGAAGTAAGTAAATAGTGTTAGCATACTGCAGTTACCAAACATGGCGTAAGAGATACGTTTTGAAACTACATGATTGATCAAATCTGTAAAAAGCTATTGGAAGAAAAAATGTCATACATGTATAACATTGTCTTCAGCAGTAGTTTTAAATTTAAATCGAATTCGGGAAGTAAAACCGTTTTTCATATATAATTTAAAACCTTATTACATTGACTATCATATCTCGGTATTAATCTTCGGAAATACAATACCACAATTGTTCGCGTAAATTTTATTCTATCCTGACATTTCAATCTTATTGATGGAAACTTCAGAAATTTGATTTATCCTGATTTTCCCTTGTTTTGCCAGCGATACAATTATTTTGATAATTTATCGTTCTAATGACATCCCTGTGTGTAACTGTCGTACTTGGGAGTGTACACTCGATACCCATATCACCTTGATGCAAGGAGACAATAATTGATTAGAACAAACTCACTCAGAAAAATCCTCATGATTTTAACAATCTGCTAGGTCTAGTGAAGAAATTGTCTTGTCTGTTTGATAGACGATGTCATGAACATTCTATATCAACAGAGAAGTGTAAAGCTACACTATGCAGAAATATAAATTGTTCTCTCTGTGAATGAAGTGAATGATTTGACGATTATAAATTGTATTTTAAATTACAATCAATGAACACTCTTACATGTCCTTATAGTGTGGTTCTACCGTAGTTAAACACTGTCTAAAATTATGTTGCGAGTCTTTACGTGTAAGTTAGATATCTATTCAATGAGGAGCACATCCTGTAAATTCCCACAGCCGCTGTATTGTCCTCATACAAAATACCGTTTGATCAAACAGTGAAAAAGACAGTCCATAAGGGTCAATAAATGTCCAGTCAATTACTGGTCTCCATTACGCTCAGATAGCTATTCCACCCACGAGACTCAGCACGTGCGGGTTGATTTCATTCGAGTATCACAGTGTTAATGACACTACTTCGTGAGAAAAGCTCATTCGAAATTCGGTCATAATCTGAAAACTGAAATCTGGGTATATTTTCTGTGTACCCCCGATAACTATAAACACAGATATTAGTCATGTGATATAAAAGTTAGCCACTTTTTATTTGTCGATGGCGCAGTCTCATAGCCGTAAATAATCTCTCATTCAGTCAACCATAACTCGCTGGTTTTGCCGTCATTGCTGACAAACTTTCCTTGTTATGGTTTGAGTACTTTCTCTTTTGTTCGAGTTTAACTTGAACAACTATAAAATGGGTAGATTGTTTGACAATGATATGTTTATCACGAAGATATTTACAACTACTGATGTCACAATGCCGTTATAGACATGTACTTCTGGATGAGAGCCTCGTTTTCATATCCGTAAGTCATTTCATTGAATTATGGGGCTAGTGCACCGCCTCGGCTAGATTCTGACGGTCCTTTCGATCATTTTGAATTTTCCTTAGTCACCTTCTAGTTACAAAATTTCGGCCCTTACCATCACTGTCGAGTCCGAGAAGGCCCAAACAGCTGTATGAAGCAGTTGAATTCACTGTTTGGCAAAATCTTAAAATTTGTATTAAAAGGTGCTATTCACATGTGT